GAAATACTTTACTCCATCGCAGCATGAAAAGCTGGACAAGTCCTACTATGTGTATGTGGGTCCGAAGGGTGATTAGAACTTTTGTTAATTGCGAAGTGGAAGTTAGACCTTGGAATTCAGGAGCTTCAAAGCTTGGATCCTGTTGTATGAGGAAGACATAATGCCATACATCAGACAGTAGTCTTGAGGATGGTGCGTATAGGATCGCGTACAAGATCGATCTACTAAGTTAGTAGAAAGGAACATGATTGAAGTAGAGCGTACAGCGTATTCCGTAGATATACGCATGCATGCTAGCAATTGGGAATTCGTAATGGATTGCTCGGAAATGTCATATTAGGAGTAGCGTTGGATGGAATATAGATAGATGGGTCCCGGGATTCGAGCGTATGTGCACTGGGAAGGGAGTTTCGAGGAGTCAAATGTGAAGGAAAAACTTCTGGAAAGCAAACAGGGGACGTGAACACGGTGGAACCAATTACGACGCGCCAAGACTTTTCGGATGGGCGCTTGTCTTTTCGCGCTTCTCATCACTGCCATTGATGGTTTCCAGCTATCATGTTGCCGACGTATATATCAATTGCTACAAGATAATCAATTTGATGTATCAGGTGTGCTAAGTTCCTCCCATACAAATTACAAATGTCTATCAATAGAAGAAACACAGTTAAGCATAGAAGCGTGGTTTGATGTCCTCATCCTTATTTAATTCTCATACAAAGTTGCCCATCGTTTCACATAAAACCATCTTTTGGATTGAGTAAATTAGTATCTATTTCAGACAAATTATAACGGATACACGTCAAATGATCGCCGTGAACAACATCCCCAATAATTTCAACCCAAGCAGTGGAAGGTTTCTTGTTCTTCGGTCCCGGAAGCAACCACTATCATTTGAATTGAGATATTCAACCTTCATAAACTTCCATAAATTGCCCATTGCACGTTAGATAGGAGAGAGGTGTGTCTTTTTCATTACCTATGGGGTTATAGTGGGGATTCTTTTCGAATAAAATCTTAGTGCCGCGTAAACACTAATAAACACTGGCTACTGAGGACTAATAAGCATTGAACATTGGAACACCGGCCAACCCTTGAACTTCTTCCCGATCATCTGTGACACTTTCATTACCTTGCTACTGACTTACACTAACGGAGACCCTTGCTTATCTGGTTTTTCTTATGCTTATCCCCTTTGGACTTGGACAAATATCAAACAAGAACTCTTGAGTGGTGATCCAAAAAAAGAAGAAACAAGCCGAGAACCAAAGGCCTTTGCGAAAATGCAGAGCCATGGGAGGCTTGGAGAGTTGGTCCTTGGATGCAGGAACTTGGAATCTCAGGTGGATCACAAAGGCAACCAACCATTCTCTCGCTCCATGAAGCCTCACCTAAAGAGTACAAAGCTATGGGGCAAGCTTAATTTTGAAATTGACGATGGTGTATATCCCATACGCACACATTTTCACACCACTAGCAAGGATAAAGTAAGTATAGAGTAAAGGGAATTTCAGACTGTCCGCGAGGAAGAAGGTTAATAATAATAACCTCCCGAGTAGAGGAGGACGTCCGAAATGGTTGATTGATGAAGATCGAATAACAGAATTTCTTTTCTACTACTTTTGACATGTACTTTTCTTTTTTGATCCATCTTTCCTTTCCGTTCTATCCTTTCTTTACATTCATTTGATAGCTTGGCAGAATTCTGGACCGAGCCCGCTCCATTATTTTCCATCCAACATATTTCTCTGCTCTGGTTGAGTTGTTGACTTGTACCATCCGAATTTTGGCTTGTTGATTCTTTTCTTCTGTATTTTGGGGTTCCGTTCCGTTTCATTTCATCATCGGTTTTCAATTTTGGTTTGAAAATTAATGACTATGTCGGAAAAAGCCAATATCCCAACACCTCTATGGTCACCGGCCTTGCCCGAGCATAGAGGAGGGATAAGTGGGTTTCATCGCAGACACACCTCTCTCGTCCCTCCATCCCCACGTGAGGTCTTTGATTCACGACCTAGTACTGCCTCTGAGCCCGATTCAGAAGCATCTGGTCCCAAACCACAAGCAGTGACATGGATGTCACTACCTCGGAAAGATCAATTAGCCATCCTCTTCTTCTCTAGATTGGTAGATTTCTTACAAATTGCTTCATTGCAAGCTTATATGTTCTACCAGCTGAAGAGCTTCGATCCTGGCTTGTCTGATGCTGCTATTTCGTCACAGGCGGGGATCTTGCAGGGGTGTTTCACCGGAGCTCAGGTCTGTACTGCGGTGCTATGGGGTAAAGCCGCTGATACCTGGGGGAGGAAGGTGGTTCTCATGATTGGGTTGGTTGGAACAGCCATCTCATGTCTGGGATATGGCTTCTCGACGACGTTCTGGCAAGCGGCTTTGTTTCGTGCCTTTGGTGGTGCTATCAATGGTACTGTTGGAATAATGTTAGTTCATACATTCTTCAATCTCAAATCCACAATAGCTAAACTTTCTCAATTAGACGTACCATGGTTGCAGAGTTCACCAAAGAGAAGAAATATCAATCTCGGGCATTTTTGCTCTTGCCTATGAGTTTCAACGTGGCTGGTATATTGGGCCCAGGTATGTTTATATATATATTGCATCAATCACATCATCATGTACTAATATTGCTCATAGTTATGGGTGGATTACTTGCAGATCCAGCAATGACACTCCCTGGTCTTTTCGGTGACCAAGCTGCATTCGGATTTGAGTGGCTTAAATCATATCCCTATGCTCTTCCTGGTATTCTCAATGCCGTCTTCTTAGCAACTACCGGCGTCATCGTATTCTTGGGTCTAGAAGAGGTACGTGCTCTTGACGTGGGATACATCTCCATGTGTCCACCCCCGCATGTACGGATACGGATGCTAACCTGCGGCTTCATCTTAGACTCTTCCTTCAGCACGTGGCCAATTTGATTACGGAATCGATTTGATGAATCAGATCAAACAATCAATAGGCGTTGGAACTATTGTTGCCCCGATTGATTATTCTCATCTTGAGACCTCAACTAATAGCCTCGAGAACTTCGAACCTAAATTAATTACTCGTCCCACCGCAAATAAATTGCCCTTTAATCGCATCTGGACCAAAAACGTAATCTTCACCCTGATTACCGGCGCATTCTTTGATTTCCATCTTGGAGCTTTCACAAATATCTGGTCACTTTTTCTCTCTACTCCACGACCTACTTCCAACGATTCACGATCTCTTCCCTTTGTATTCACCGGAGGTCTCGGTATGCCTGCCGCAACAGTCGGCTTTGCAACATCCATTCTCGGCGTCCTTGGCATGGCTCTACAAGTTCTTCTCTATCCACCTGTGCACGCAAGACTTGGTACCCTCCTTTGCTTTCGATTTTTTCTAATTTTGTTCCCCATCGCTTATTTTGTTGCTCCGTATTTGGCCGTATTGCCTTCCAGTACTCTCGCACCTGCGCCTGCTGCCGGGCCTGCGATCTGGATTGGAATTTTCTTTGTACTTTTACTTGCTGTTTCAGCGAGAACTTTTACGCTCCCCGCTACGATTATCTTATTGAATAATTGCTCGCCTCATCCTTCCGTTCTGGGTACGATACACGGAATTGGACAATCAGTCTCAGCGGGCTTCCGCACAGTGGGACCGGTGGTAGGTGGAATTTGGTATGGACAAGGGTTGGAAAAGGGAGTTGTGGGATGGGCATGGTGGGAAACGGCAGTGGTGGCCGCGGCGGGATGTGTAACAGCTATGTGGGTTTATGAGGGAAGTGGACATGAAATATTCTTGGAAGGGGAGGAAGATGATATGGAGGAGGTGGAAATGCAAGGACTGATGAAGGATAATCAGAGAGAAAGAGAAGAGGGAGTTTTTGCCGAGAGGCAGGGGTTGATGGGACAGATGGGTGGGAGTACCAGCTTGGATCTGAGAGATTTGGTGGATGATGGGGTGGAACGGGGAGTGATGGCTGGAAGTAGTAAAGGGGTTAGTTTAGAAGTTAGGAGGAGCTTGGCTCTGAGGTAGGGTGGTGATTCCCAATGGCTTGGATATGGCTGGCGTACAGGCGTTTGTGTTTGCGCATCATGGGAGAATAAATACCACATATTTGTGCTGAGCATCAAAAGGTCGGATAGGCGGATAGCGGATCCATCTCTTATTATGTTATCTATGAAAAGTTCTTCGACGAAAACATATTATTAAATTCCCACGCTATGTATTTTTTTCAAGAAATGTGACTGACTGAATCAAAATTGCACATGCTCACCCTACAGACAACTATCAAGATTGATGGGATTTCCGCAAGCATTGATCATTCCAAAACAACTGATTGAACACCATCATACTCCTGAAAAGATGGTTGCTAAACAAAGATTTTAGTACTGATTAAAATGCATTGATTGAAATTGTGTGATCAAGTGATGTACTGTTACACATACAACATGAAGATCAAGAGGATTGAAAGGACATTCGAAAGGGTAATCCTCGGAATTGTCGGAAAGTTTGAAATCTTGTTCCGACGTCATCTCTCCATCTTTACTTTTCAACAAATTCAACTAAATTCGCATTGTAATACTTTTTATTCTGGTTTCTATCAATTGTGCATTTTACACTAAAGAAATCCCATTTCGGTTCATCATTATTCAAGCTTCTGAAGATTCTCAAGAGGAAAGACAGAGGAGATTTCCTTCTGTGATTAGCTTTCTTTCCTTCATCGCAAAGAGCTTTCTCTGTCAATCATCCCATATTATTCCTCAAGTCAATCAATCCATCAATCCATCAATCCATCAATCCATCAATCCATTCATTTACCAAGGCCACCATCCTTCAATTTCTTATCAACTTTTAAGTGATCTCGGAACAAAGAACGTAAATACAAAAGAAAGAGAAAAGGAGAGTCAGTAAAAGCTCCACGAGAAAAGTTTCTGTTTGAATCCTCCAACGCCTTTAATGCTTCACCGCAGTGATCATGTAGTCATGACTTCGTTATCATTACGCCAGCGAATACTTTACATCCATCCTCCAAAACTATTGTCTTTGTCAACCCGTTGGATTGAAGTTCCCGCAGCTGTTGTAGTGTAAGAGACGTTGTGGTTAGCATCTGTTACTGTGCCTGGTACAGGTGCTCTCGCAAACGGAAACCTGCTTTGGAGCTCTCTTCCTCTACCAATGCTTCTTTGTCTAGCTCTCTTCACGGATTCATTGTATTGTCTCAGTTGTTCGTTTCCACCAAAGATGCCAGAGATGCTTCCAGTTACATGGGCTGTTTGACGGCCCTCTAGCATTGCCAAGGTGTTGTCGCGTTCCGCGACCGTACGCAGAGTATCAGCTTCTACCGGGGAAGGTGGGATAGCATTGTGCGCACGACTTCTTGTTCCAGTTGTGGCACTAGAGGTTGGTTCGATCCATTGCTTTGGACTGTTATCGATGCTGTCATTTGAAGTTGCATTGGGCGAGGTAGAGCTGTTTGAGGGAGTAGAGAATCGTGATGGTGGTTCGACCCATGCCTTTGCTGGTGTTGTAACCGAGTCATTTTGAACCTGAGGAAGCGCGGGCGCGAGAACTTGCGAGTTAATGCCATGCGGCCATGCTGTAGTTGGCGTAGAAGGGGATGCGACTGCTCCGTGTAGTTCAGAACTTTGGTTTGACAGATGACCGTCAAAATTGAACCACCGTGGCAATGATGAATCATCAATGCTCTTTTTGACATTTGAAAGTTCCAATCCAGGTGAAGCATTTCCAGTGGCATTTCTTCCATACAGCTTCAGGTCCCTATCTGGAGACTTTGGTGGGATTGGCGGAGCCATAGATGTGTCATTCAGGGGTTGATGTTGGTGTACTGTTGAATCTTCATTCTCAGATAATGTTGGATCGCCTGGAAGTTCTGCTGGCCTAGGACTGGTGATGAACTGCAACTCATGCTCATAAGATCTTACCGGTCGTGATGGTGTTGATGAAACTGGTACTGCAGCTCCCATCATAGCTTGCTTGATAGCACCAGTGCCCAAGGTCATCTTGTCGCCGAAAGGCCAAGATGGCCACAACTTTTTGTCCGTCAAGCCCAAGGTATCTAAGACACTTAAACAATCCTGTCGTGAATTTCCTACTTGGCATGAAACCCTATTTCCTGTGTTTAAGCATTGGCTATTACCATCATAAATATTTCCTTGTCTTAATGCCATGGAGTTCGACGCGTTATTGCCTTTCTTCTTCAAATTTCTTCGGCGTAACCACCATGCAAGCAAACCAAGTGCAGCGATAGCGAGGATGGCGCCGACGATAGCAGGCACTATAATTGCCACAATTGGAACCGACTTATGGGAATTGTTGTTTGGCGGAGTTGATACCAATGTGCCAGTTGCTATTGCCGATGATGATATTTTGGAAGAGGTCGGTGCAATACTTGGCTTACTTGTCGAAGTCGCCGATCGAGTGGAAGATGCTGTTGGCCCAGTGCTTTTGTCAACATTGTTCGAGCTACTAGATTCGACAGTACTTGAGCTATCAGTCTCAATAGTGTCTGAGCTATCAGTTGTCTGTGGGATGGGAAGGCTCGTAGTGCTGGTTGATAATGTTGCAACAGTTGCAGCAATCGATGGAAGGTATGTAGGGTATGCAAATTCAGTTGCAGTTCCTCTTATTGGAGACTCATTTTCTGGATAGACGGTATAAATAACTACCAGTGCAGAAGTCAAGGTGACAGGAATCTGGTCAGCTGGAGTCACAAACTAAAACATCTGTTAGCATTGAACACATCGGTCTGTTATCTCGGGCAAGATACTTCTGAGGATGTTACGACAATAGGAGTGGGCGAGACGGTAGTATACGACGTAAGAGTAAGAACGTTGATGCTGATACTCGAACCTGAGCCATCTGCCATGCTCAAAAAAGAACACAGGCAGATGATCAAAATCGTCAACATAACTTGCAAGTGTCGCATCTTGATACCGGGCAGCAGAGTATACCGAGTTTTATTGAGATTCTAAGAAGTTCAAGGTGGGTGTTGTTGGCGTGTGGTAAAGGACAGAGAGAATTTATCGGCAGAATGCGACCGCTTGAAAGTGATGACCTTCGGCAAGGTGAATAAAACGATTTAAGAACGCAGCCGAAATCGATTATATTCGAGAAAAGATGTATGGTGATTTCCAGAGTATAGAAAACGACAAGGTTCTGGAACGCAGCCTTGCAGAATTGATGAGAAGTCCAGGTCAGGCGTCAAGGTCAATAAGAGGCAGCGTGTAAATTCTAAATTGTATCTCAATATTATTTTGAGATTATGGAAAAGTTCAAAATGAAAATTAAGCTAACTCTTTTGAACAGGCTAGAGTCTCGGCGTTGAGAAACAAGTAAGTCGTTCAAGAGTTTGAGTGATGCTGCTCAAGGTTTGATGTTGTTGTTATCAAAAGTTCATTCAGACCACATATGTTACTTAGGAACTTTAGTTTAAAGAGATGATGATGGGTGTCTGCGTGTACCCTTCTGCTGGTGTCCAGATACCTTCAAAACTCAGTTGTATATATGAGGCCAGCTGTGAATGGTCTCCAAGAATGCAATTGTACCCTTACCTTGAATTATGTTGTGTTAGATAGTACAAAGGACGCTGAGATCGAAAACAACTTGGAACAGAAGATATGCTCGGAATATGGATTCACTTCCCTTGACATACATATGATAAGATGGAATCTGATCTGTGAATCAGTGACTTATAGTTTTCATGAAGGGATATGAGCAGATGATAGATGAACTCCTCAATGACCTTGGGAATTCTGTTCTTGAACTTTGTCAAAGTATTCAAGTAATTTGTTTGCTTGTTGAAGATCACAAGCTTCTGATCTCCTCGTGTCCTGATTTCCTGGTTTAGGGAGTCTTGATCCTCGTTGAGTTGAGCAATTTCTTTGATGAGGAAATGATGCATAAAGCTTGTATTAGTATATTCTTAAACTTCCTATACCCTTTATCTCTCTGGTGAAGTATGAATTCCGTGAGCTGGTTGGCTGAGCATTACCAGATTCTAGCTCCCCACAAAACAGAATTCACTGTGATGCATAACGTTCTCCGGAAGCTGGGTAAAATTGTAAAGTTTCATATGTGAATGTTAGGGTTCTCCAGATGCTATATTAGATCTGGAAAATAGATAAATGATACTCGGTTTTGGGACCCCCTACCTTGAGTACAAAAATAGATATGGTGGAGTGGTTGGAATATTATTCACAGAGGTAGGGAGGTCATTCGGAACTGCAACATGTCGTTCCAGTGGAGCAAAAGTTCGAAGATGATAGGAGGGGAACGCGCTCTGAGAAGCTGCTTTGGGTTATTTTGAGATGGTATACCACATGATTAGCCAGGGCTTGTAGTACTTGGGTCACTATCTGGATATATCAAGGACCCAATGGCGTAGGAAGAGATTGCAGAGGTCTGGCGATCGGTGAGTATGTCTTGCGATGGAAGTGATACAGTTAGTTCTGAAAAATGATGGTTCATATAACTCAGTCCCTGGTGTGGAGTCATTAAAGTGAATCTCACTGCAGTAGTAAGGCACTCTCCTCCTTGTGTTGCACATCTCATTTCGCCTTATCCGACTAGTGCAGCGGGAGAATGGCGAGATACGTGGCAAGATCAAGAAGTCTATCCGGATACTTCCTAGTAGTCTACGCCAATTTCAATATAAATGAAGCATGAATGATACGATCTTCCTTAATTCCTAATCTTCATTCATAGATCACGCCATTGTTCATTTCATCTTCGCACCTGTTCCAAAACCGACATGTCGTGGAAACATAAACCATCAGGGTGGAGCTGCGATTCGGTTATTCAGTGAGGTCCCCTTGTTCTGCGATGATGGGAGCGAATGCCATGACGGTGCTAATGGGTAGGTGTAAATGAATCGGATGAGTGATGCATCCAAGCTTCATTAGATTTCTGTGCTCTACCCACCCAGATCCCTTTGAGGACGTGAGTCGTTTACTTCAAGATGTTTTTTGACGAAAGGAATTGAAATTTTAATGTTATGTATCATACGCAAGTAACAAACATCAATTTTTATCTCCAAGCCGCTCCAAAATCTGGAAAGCGACCTCAAAATGCAAGGCAACAAGCTTTAAGTGCCTATTCCAAAAACGAGAAAGTAACGCATCTTATTACATTAAAACACTAGACCCAAAGTCCCTCTACTCACTCTTAGTTTTCCTCTCCTCTCTCTTCCTCACCACCTCCAAAAACTCCCCCACAACCCCCTTATAATCCATACTTCGATACGGCTCAAACCACTCATTCCACGAACCCTTCCAGCCCTTAACCCTCGATTTCCTCCTCGCTTCCACCCCCAACTCCTCACAGAGCAAATCACAAAGATCCTGTACCTCTGCTCCCACATTCGGTTCGATAATCCCCGCGCGTCGATATCTCCACTTCATGAATGCATTTGCCCGCGCGGTATCGAGATCCATGGCCAATTTGTCACGGAATACTTTATCGATCTCGGTAGCGTGCATGTTCTCGAGATAGGCAATACTCCATAGCGATGAAAGTTCAGCATAGGTTGGGATTTGAGGGGATGCTAAGACGCCGAGGAAAATTATAGATCGATCGTTGCGGGTAGCTAGGGTAGTGGGAACTGATTGACGATAGAGATGATATGGTGTATGGTCCGGCGGAGTTTCATAAGTCTTCGGTGGGTTGGATAAGAAAGGAAAGGTTTTATGAACCCATTGATCGGCGTCGAGATCGAGCTCTTTCCAATATTCCTTCAGAGCGGGAGGTTCCGTGCCAAATGGGATTGGAAGGTCCAGCTCAAGACGCATTTCGGGTGTGAAAAATTTGGAAAAGGTAAGATTCCATCCAGTGGCGAATATTATTGCGTTAGTAGCAAGATGAGTACCGTTATCGAGAGTGACACTGCTGGGATTGACCTTGGATATATGTGTACGCTCGACATCTATAAGTATTCCCTCATTCAGCTTTTCAAACAAGGTACTGCCTTCTTGAAGGAAGGAAGGTGCAGATGTCGACCAAAAGAGACTGTGTTTTATTAGCAAAGTAAAGTAAAGTAGAATTCACCGCTGTATAAATATCTTACTGTTGTAAATCAGGTGCGATTTTCTTAGCATTCTCGCTCTGCTCATAAAGACCTTTCAACATATAATGAGAAGCCCACTCCCAATATTTCCCAATCAACCAGATACCGGGCCAAAAGAGACCACTGTGCAAGAGCCAATACCAAAACCCGTGAGTTCGCAACAGACATGGAACCGTCAGACCAGCCCACCTAGAGAATGCAATGGCGGCGGTATGTACACCTCCCGATCTCGCTTGTATAAGCATTCCTGGACCAGCACCACCTTCTCGTATCAACCAAGTAACTTTCTTTCCTGCAGTTGCACATAAATTGACGACTTCCGCAGCCGATTTATTGCCTCCAACTACTGTTACATGCTTAATTTTGTCGGCAGTAAGTTCGGCATGTCGGGCACCAAGATAAAGAGAATGAAAGACAGGTCCATTGAATTGACTCGTATCGAGATCCGGCATTCTTGGATCAGACGAGGGTCCACTTGCTACAATCAATTTATCACACTTGAGGAATTCTTTTTCTTTTCCTTTCGTCTGCACTTCTAGACTCCACCTCTTGACGCCATCAGTTCCGATTTCAGGGACCGCCGAAAAAACCTTCGTATTAAGGCGGAGGTGCTCATCGATACCAAATCTCTTTGAAAAATTGCGAAGATAATCACCCACTTTATGACCGGGAATTATCTTCCACATTTCCAACTCCGGATCTTCATCCATACACATGTCGGAAAATTCATAGCACCCAACTGGGCTATCGGCGATGAGTCCAGGATAGCTTCGCTCAATACTCCAGACTCCGCCGATGCTACTGTCAGAGTCAATTACAGTCAGTTTGATGTTGGGTTTGAGCTGTAGGTATGTTCTAGCGGCTGCAATACCCTGCCATCCTGCACCAATGATAATGACATTATGGTCGTCTGCGGTATGTTTTTCTGGAGCCATGATTCCGTGGCCAAATCAACTGCAATTAACGATATGGGATAGCGTGATTTTCATATATGCCCAACAAACTAAACATATGCATAATTAGTATCTTTTTGTGGTAGTTATACGATGCAATTCCTTTCTCAAAATCTCGGTAAATGAGAATGATAGAACAATGGTAAGAAACAATAGGAGGTAATTGCCACAAGTTACGAGTACGAGACTATCTGTTTTGTTGTTTGAAAAGAAAGAAACGAATCTTCATTGATGCCTCTTCCTATAATATCCCGTATGTTCCTTTGTTCTTCGGAACTCAATCTTAAGAAGCTTGACAGTTTCGGGTTTTGTTAAAGCTATTATTCGACCTGAAGACTATTCGGTTCATAAAAAGTACCGAAATTCATAACCAGCATGAATATTTATTCAAGCCAATCCTATCTCCTGTGTGACAGACGCAGCCATAATACTCCCCTATAATGCCCTTATTCAATTCATCTATACCTGCCCTCAACTAACAAAACGGAAGGAGATTTAACGCGGTGCTGGACAAACCGCAAATTTTTTCAATAAGGCGAGTTTAGAATTGGATGAGGGGTAGTGTGGAACTGTCCATCGACCCATTTCAGTCCAATCTTTAATCCATTCTTCTTCGACGCTTCGGGCTTCTTTGAACAAGGACCAAGCACTAACAGACTCAACTTCTTCATCAAGATCCATGACCGCACCCAAGTACGAACCCGCCATCGACACACGGCTACAGTTACACATGAATCTCGCACTTGCGACATTGAATATCTCGTAATATAGCTGGATAAATACACGGTACCAGCCTTCAATGTCGTTGTAGGTTTAGCAGATAGCAGCACCGTCGCAGACTCCTGAGGTTTTGGTATTAATCTAACTAGTGTTATGTACTTCGGTAAACTATGGCGGAGCAGACTCTTGTGCGTCTACTATGCTCTGCAAATACTATCGAGTATCTCCAAGAATAGGTGCGCTATATACAGCGGCTCCTCCCTCAGAAGTCATATTTTCTTCCGGAACATTGGTTTGACATGTCTAAAGGCCGGTTGTTGCGCAACCCCGCCTCAAAATAATCCTTCAATTCCTTTTGAACCCTTTCGCCTCTCCCCACCTCCTAACTTTTCCGTCTAAATCCCTCCCAACGAATCCCCAAACCACGCTCGTCCCCCATGTAACCAACGTATCCAACACCCAATTACCTCTCCGACTACCCCCCCATGCGCAAGCTCTCATCATACTTCCTAGCCAACCCACCGTAATCAGATATTCTCCTCTTTCCAAGCCCCTGATCGAATTCTTCGCGACTTCATCTGGTGTTTGTATCGGATCCGTTTCCTCTAATAAATGTGTAATTTCCGGTTTGCCCTGATTCTCGATCTCCAATCCCGGGCTAGCTATTGTACCCGGAAAAATTGTGTGAATTTTTGGAGGATTGGGATATAGTAGGACTTCTTGATATAAGGTATCGCTCAAGCTTTTGATCGCAGCCTTGGTCGGCGAATATGGTGTATAACCCACGACGGAATAGAAAGCTAAAACGCTACTGGTGAAGATTAAATGTCGGTCTTTCTTCTCAGCGTTGGAAGTGGAGAGCCAGGATTTCAAAACGCAATGTGCCATATCTGCACAAGACCAATAGTTTATGTCCATTTGTGTGCGAAGTTTCTGGGGAGTCGTATCGAGGAAGAAGCCGGGGGTAGAAGTTCCTGCGATACACCAGACAATGTCTGGAGGATTAGAAGAATTGAGTCTAGTGGCTTCTTCGAGTACGCGTGCGGCTTCGGTAGGAATAGAGACGTCTGCGGAAATATAGTGGAAAGATTGCGTTGAAGGGGAGAGAGCTGCGGCCTGTGAAGTGTCAGTCGAGCCCATCTCAAAGCCCTTGCTCTTGTATTGATTCCTCCTATTAGTCCCCTCTCGAGGCTCTAATGGTATCCAAGTATCTCTTCTTCTCAACCTTTCCTTCAATTCCAGATTCCATCCCAATCTTTGCTACCCTTCTATGAAGAAACGAAAAACACCAAAAAATACCTTGATTTCCACCATAGCCTTCTCCAATTTTCCGACGTTTCTCGCAACAATTATCACATTTGCCCCCATTTTTGCCAATTGAATTGCAACACTCTTTCCCATTCCTTCTGAAGCGCCAGTCAAGAGGACTGTCTATCGAGACGAGGTGTTAGCACATCTATGCAAACATGAAGCACCCAGCCAGCGAAGATGAAACAATTGATCGTACCTTTCCTTTCACCAAGAACTTATTTCCTCCCAGCCCCAACATACCCATAATGCCCGGTGTAAAGGCCGCGAGGCCCAGTACCAACGCTGCAACGGTCCAGTAATTAAGCATCGACATGATTGATTGCTTGCATTAGTATTGAAGTTGAAAGGAAAGCTGTTGAACGGAGTCGTGTCGTCGCGTATGAATTTAGGCGTTTACGATAAGCTGACGATAAGAGACAGGGGTATACACGTGGTATTATTAGTAGAAGGGAAGCTCCCGAAGATCATCATTGATTAGTGCAGGAACGTGGATTTCTGTAAGACCTAATCATTATAGGGACCATAAGGCTGTGATGTGCAGACGATCTTCGTCATGACAGGATTCATGGCCTGTATATTTATCGGTGTTTATATATCCGGTGCAACTACATACGTCCGGAGATTTACATTTTGAAGAACTCTACAATCATTGTCACTTCTTTATTGGCAAGTCAGATCGAAATTTCGTGATAATGTTACTTTACTGCAGATGGCAGTTGGCCAGTGGACTACCCTTTGCGACCTATTCCTAATACATCTCCATCCTCATCCTTTCCAAGCAAGCCCTGCTGGATTATGATTTTGACCTTGACGGAAAGTCCCAATGCTTTTGAACTCAGCATGCCCAAAAGATAAGCATATACTCAAGTACTATGACCATGTCCCTTTAAAAGACGATATAGATGCCACTATATACGCCCAGCCTTGTATATGCAAAAAGAGACCAAAAAATAAAAACAATATCCACGAACGCCGCTTCCTTGACCATGGTAACGCCAGTATCAATCATTTCGGAAACGCCTTTTGTCCATGTATTGGGTATCATCCTCCCCCAGAAGCAATTTGCGAATAAGCACAAATAATATCTTAAACAGGTTATAAAAAATTCTGCATATCAATCTGTTCTTTTTCGTGTAAGAACAGGTCTTTTCCTCCTACTCGCAACAGGTGCCATGCCAACGAATGTTTCATCAGAATCATTGCCAAGGCGATCATAACGTTCATGACCGACAGTAACAAGTTTGACCATATTTCCCAATGCAACTACGATACTGTTCGTACCCACTTTCGTGACTGGGCCAAGTTTACCAACAAGTAATACCTGATCGTAAACCGAATTTAAGGGTACAGAGGTTTCATCTCCTCTCGATCCTAAGCTCCAAACCTCCCAGCCGTCATTTTTGCCTCCTGGGTGATCTAGATTAGACCTCCTACCCGAAACACCACGTCGTCGGAGTCCGCCGCTTCCAATCGGCCCCAAAAGTTGATTTCCTACTCCTTGTTTATGTTGATCTTGTGCCTTCCGTACACCTACCACATACCCCGATTGGAGTGCTTGCCAATCACCAGGATTTTCTATACTAAATCTCCGCTCTACAGTTTCCCGCCATAAACAACATGTTTTAGAGCCTGGTTTATCAGGATCACGGAAACATATAGTATCGCCCTCTCTGCTGGGCAAATATGATTGCATCATCATGTTACCGGTCTCAATGCAAGTATACATGAATGCAAATGATCCCAAACCAACAGATCCACACTGTGGCCTTCGTCTTGTCGAATGAACGCATTGCAGTGTTCCTGGTTTAATGTTCTCTGTAACAAATGAATGGGTGACATTATGAGTGTGTATATCAACAAGATCAACGCTGTGGTCGCGTATAGCGAGGAAGGAAGATAATGCCGGCAATGGAAGAATTGAGTTGACATCTTTGTCATCGGATACCCAAGGGAGTCTAAGATCATATGAAACCCAACCAGATTTCTCTTCAACTGCAACATGTACACAGCCACGTTTTGAGGCGGTTATGATCTTTGGAGGTGGGAGGGAGCCATTCATAACAACTTTCTCCAAATGTGGCTCAACACAAACCAATGGCGTGCGGCATATTTGTAATTCCTTTGAAACATGATCTTCCATATGAAGTTCTGACATGAGGCCATTATGGCGCACGATAATCACCGGATCAATCAGCTCAACTTCATTGCGGCTAAAGAAAAATGCTTCTGGTGTTCGCCCTTTAACGTCCACGGGCATTGTCGGACCCCATCGTCGTTCAGGAATATTCCACAAGGTGACCATTTTCTTCGACAGTATTGCGAGCCAATTCGAGTCGTTATCGATCGCCATAGCTAAAACAGGAAAAGGATCGATATCGGATCCAGGGTCTTCGACTACATAGCTTCGGCCATTATGCTGTGCATTCCAAACACGGATCCATCTATCCAAACCGACTGAAACGATAATTCCATCACGAGAAGCTGTCATTAGGACAACATCCAGAGCATGTCCAGAGCCGAATGTTTTAACCGATAACAGGGGTTCGTCGCCATGACCCTCATGGTCGTCATCGTCAGAAGGCTCATCAGACAAGAGATATTTGATAAATTGATTGACAATCACACCAGTGATGATAACAAACAAAAGAAACGGCAGGGACTGGTTCTCGATAAAGTCATAAAAAGCAGGGAGAAACGATCTCACACCAAGTCTGTTTGGTGTCCGATCTGAACCGTTCAAAACAAAAACTAAAGGATCATAAACTTGAGCAACGAAACTGTGAGCATGTGGTTTGACGATGCTTATAAGCTCATGAACAGTCTCGTGGTCTTGCAATCGAAGCCAGGCAGTTGGAGTTCTAGCTTGATGAACATCAACCTCTAGTATTGAAGAAGCCGGCGCAGTTGTTTTTAACACATGTTGATTGCTTTGCAAAATACCTTGATCGAAGTGCCACTGACAAATTAGTACTGCGATAATAATCACCAAGGTACCGACAATACGAGTCGAAGGCATGTTTCCTCCTCGAAAAATGAAATCAGCCCACGGTTTAGAAGATGATCTTTCTGGTGACGGATAGCTTCGTTCCCGGGAAGAAGCCGAGAGTGTATCGTTTAATTGAGGTCTTCGTACATCGATGCTTAGAACGGGAGCGAAGAACATTAGTAGGTAGAAGAGATCAAAGATTAGTGCAAATGTAGCGAAGCGACAAAAAGTAGCTTGCCCTTCGCCTCCAAACTTGGATACAACCCACAAAAAGAGAAGCCTCTGGCTAGTGTTTGTAAGGAATACATGTCCATTCTTTCCAAAGGCTTCTGCGGATCTAAGAGTCGGATGATGTGATGAGGGCGTGACAATAAAAGCTCTCACAAGTTGAAGCATGTTTTCCGTTCCGCAAAAGACAACAATCAAAGGATAGTACTCTCTTGGTATCATAGACAAATCTGTTTTGATAATAGCGCAGATGGTGAACGTCGAAGTAAACGTAAAGGCCAACTGAGTAGTCGCTGCAATGAGAAGACCAAGCCTTGACTTGAGAGCCCGTAGGCCCCACAAAGTTGCGACGAACCACCATGCGCCAAAAGTGTATGCAGCGGCCAATGCAATTGATTCCCAAGTAGCAGTAGGTTGAAATAAAAATTCGTAGGGAGTGCTTCTTAGCGAATGGACATCGGAAGGAATCATGCGCCAGTCATCAGATCCTTTGGCTGCAAGTTGAGCTGCCCTTCTCTCCCAATATCTCCCGACAGGCGAGTCAAGCATGTGAACTAAGGTTATGACCAAGGCATCTGCAGCCACAAGATGGTGGTCCTCAAAACGCTTCCCACTGAAGACAATAGAGTGCCTCAAGGTAACATTGACAGAGGTTGACTGGTGTAAGTTCTTGTTGACTGTCATGACGATGTCGTCATCGGCCGAAATCGCTTCCTTCGAGCATGACCAGTATTGTAATGGAGAATGAAAGAACCAAGAAGAGTTTGTTAGACCGTTTACTGCATGAAAAGTATCCCGTACATCCACTGATAATTCATTTTGTGTGTAGTCAATCTGGGCATGCTTAGCCTCTTTGCGAGGGTCAAAGTTGATAGTGGGGCCTAAGATATGATCCTGTATCTCTAATGCTGCTTGGAGAACATCGGATTGTAAAGCTTTCATATAGCTTCCTACTCCGGTATTAGCTCTCCTCCCTTCGAAACCCAGAGTAGTAACACACCATGTACCCATATCGATCGCATGACCACATCCGGTCTCCTCGAATCATCTAATGCTTTCAAAGGTTGCGCGGAAGACCATACATGATGTGGTAGATTTGACGCGCCATTGGTGAAGCCATTTGTGAAGAGAAATGGGAAGGGATATATAAGTAGGGTTGCGATTATAGCAGAGATAGTTATGGCAGCGACTGAGTGCTTTGCGACGTTGTATCCGAATTTAGTGAAGTGATCTCGAATGGGATGTTTGGTGTCGAGGTCGGGAGGTGCCGTGGTTCTGATGCAGACAAGCTTGATTAGATATATAAAATTTTGTCAAGCATGTCAGTTCATTAAATCACTTACCCTCTGAATGGATAGAGGAGGTACCAAATCATGGTATCGAGGGATGATTCTTGCCCTGGTCCTTGATCTGTTGCCAACCACTCCAAGTATGGCGGCGGTACCTTTTTTTTTCGAGAACCTTGATAGACTTCAGTAATAGATTTGCGCCAAGATATTAGATTCTTCGTCAATTAGAATATGGGTGGTATAATAAATCGGTATCGATACGGTAGTGGCGTGGGTAGACAATAGTGGTGGAATTGAAATTGTTGACGTCGTGGGGAATCTCAATCATGGTGTTATCGCATATACAGATGGTGTATTGTATTAGTGGTTGGTGGTAGTGGTAGTGGTAGTGGTAGTGGTTGGTAGTAGTGGTAGTGGTTGGTAGTAGTGGTAATGGTTGGTAGTAGTGGTAGTGGTAGTGGTAGTGGTAGTGGTGTTATTAGTGCTGGTGCTGGTGCTCGAGTGATTATAGAGCCGAATCGGAGATGTGGGTGGGAGCATTGAAAGCTTCGAGGAACCTCAAAATCGAAGTGCCGACATATTTGAATCAAGTGAATGGAAGGGACTGGGTCGATCTTTGTTGATTGATAATTGACGATTTGATCGAGGGTTTCGGAATGACTGGGTGGATGAATGAATGAATGAATTGAGGTCTACTCGAGTAGCGTTGTCAATTGCTTTTTTTTCATCAATACTTGGTAAAGTTTAAGTTTAATTTGTTGTCATTCTCATCGAATGGGCAGAATTGAAAATACCTAGGATGGTCGTAGCGTACGGACTAGGTGGATGAGTCTGTGAGTGAGTGAGGGCAGATATTGGGGGGAAAAATGGTAGTGAAGACGGTGCAGAGACTGTGGGAAGTCCGTCCCGAGCCAATGAAATATGTGGATTCTTTTCTTTTCCCTCTCGGAATCCTGAGCCGAGCAAATCAGATGGCTCGATTCTTACTTGGGTCCTTTGATACTTTACCTTGTACTGTTCAGTTGAGAAAAGGTTTAACAGAGAAGAACCAATGGTTTCCCTCGAAATTTTTATGACAGAACAAACGATGAGTGTATGTATGTATGTGGGACTTTCCTCTGGTATTCGATCCTGATCCAATTCAGTGAATGAACCTTGGAAGAGCTGGTGGAGTGAAATGGGAGGCATTAGGTATTTGGTAGAATAGAATGAATGGCAGAACGACGGGTGAACGTACCTGGTAACTACTGAATCGTAAACAATCCCATTCATTGTGTGTACTCGTAGATAATCCTGTATATGTATATCCGTATCACTTGTTGCTAGAACCTCTCCCCCTTCTCCTCTCCCATTCTCTAGCGCCTTCTCTCTTTCTTTACCTCTTTCCAAATCTGTCGATTCCACTTCAAACCATGCATGAACTCGGTACAGAAGGGGTTGCCAATTCGAATGATACTGTATGATACTTTAATGAACAAACGCGAGATGTCGATCAGGAAACGGATGTTACTTCCGAACCCCCATATGTCTGAAGTGAGTCCAATGAACTTGTCGGCGGCTGCGAGGGATTTAAAGAGATGCTCGATAACACAACAGTATTGGACCTATACAATGTCTCTCAAAATTGATCAGGTTGTACTTACATCCTTCATGTGCTGTGGTCTGGTATCGATGGTCGAACGGCGCACCTACTTTTTCTGAATTCTTGAATATCGAGGCTGCACAATGACCGCCTCTATAGTCTCTCACGACTAGACAATATAAATTCTTGTACTATACCTGGATACCTACAAGGGCTTGTGTTTCCTCAATTTCTCCTCCTTCGGACTCGAAAACTTACACCTATCGACAAGCCCTGGAATGGCTTTTGCCACAAAGAACGAATCATGTTAAGCTGAGTTGAAAGCTAGAGTATCGACATCGAGTCCAATTGAAGATCCAGACCATTTGGCAACCTGTAGAAGATTTCTAGATAACGAAAGGGGGATGTGGCTTTAAGTGCATGCAGCTGCAAGAGGTAAGAGGTGAGAGGTAAGAGGTTAGGAAAAACTAGTGATTGCGACCATTTTTTCTAAATGGAAAAGAGATGCAGCAACAGCATCATCAATAGCAATAGCAATTTTAGAAAAGTAAAAAAAGGGTCTCAAACCCTTCGTACGGAGTGGGCGTTCACTTAAATCTATACAATTACTTTCACCACCTTTTGTTAAATTTACTCCTCTTCCTTTTGTCTGGAATCAATTCAATCATCGTATGGTTTTTGGCATTCTGACATGTCCATCGGCTGATTTTGACGGCATTTGCATTGACCGATGGCCTAGTTAGGCGTACTAGAGGTGCTAAAACTTGAAAGAAGCCATTTTCAGGTCCCTTGAATTTTGAAGAAAAAGAAAAGAGAGCTGGAGAAGCCGAGAGAGGCATTTTTCAAGCGTTCACCGGTGGCTGATGGATCTAACTCTAGCTCCAATCGAATGTCCCAGGTTGTCCCCAATAATCAATTTATTATTAGCATTAGCATGAGCATTAGCATTAGCATTAGCATTAGCAATAGCATTTTCATTAGCTTTAAGATATCAAGCCACCACTGGCAATTGTAATTTTTTCCATCTGAATTTTGCGGGGGAACATTGCACAGAGTGCTTATGGAGCTGATCAGAAACTTGAGTTCTCTACTAGTGCAGCACATGTGGGTTTGGTATCTAGCGATAATGAATTCGTTTGGAGAACTAATCTTTATTCTCCATTCCAATATGACTACATGCGATGGACATGAAGGTAGGTAGGTAGGTAGATGCAATCTAGGTATTTATTCGCATTCCATCGCCCAGAATAACTCATACACCTCTTTGAAAAACAAACAAAAGAAAAAGATACTTGATGAAATACTACCAAGTACTAGGTACCTAGTCTGTAGGCGAGGTGAGAATCATGTATCTAGCTAGGTACCTAGCAAGGAGGCAAGGTAACATGTGAAGATATACGTACCTAAGGGGTAGACTGCATCGGTAAGCGATACTAGGTATTTTAGCTACGTGTTCTATGCAGGTCCTCATGTAGTAGAAATGAACAAGCCAATACCTAGCTACTTAGCCACTTAGCAGGTAATCATTGACCATCTTATAAACATCTTCGTCCTCGAAGGACTACTTATCAATACAAGCGCCAACTATCCATCATTTCGATGTTGTGGCGTTTACAAAGGACAACATTTTGATTCTGCAGACACCCGCTTTCCAAGACCTTTTTGTCGGCCCTTTGATAATTTAGGAACGGAAACATTCAAGCCATTCTATTAGGCGAAATTCGTATTGCCCATCAATAGCCTCAGATATGATATATTTGAAAGCAAACTCTTTGCTCGATTGGTATATGCGAATAATTTTCAATCAAAACAAGTGCGGTTCAATTCGATTCAATCAATACCCTTGAGTATTGTTTCCATGGCCCTCACTCATCTGGGCAACGCCCGAATTGTGAGTGAAGGCGGTGAGAAGCAAAGTGTGTGTACCTCTCTGATAAGTACATCACCAGACCTCCCAATACAATCTCAAAAGGGACTTTTCGTCACAGGACTAAAGCAACACTTGTGATTCCTTAATTCATCCATCTAGATTTTCTTCACCACCACCACCACCACCACCACCACCACCACCACTGCCGAATCTCATCAATTCAAGTCACAGCAACGTCGAGGAAAAAGGAATACAAGTTGTCAATCTCGATACTTCAAGGCTATCTATGTATTCATCGATACGTCATGATACCCATCAATAGTCGTGGGCATTATCGTATTTTTGGTGATACATGAAATCTACTTTTGGAGTCATGCTATGCGAATGCGAACCATCAGTAAGGACGGGTACTTACTTTCATGAGGCTGAATTTGCATATATATACCATGTTTTTAAGCGCCGCATGTCAGTGTTCAGTAGTCTGAAGTCTAAAGCCGATGGAAATTAGAAGTGTCACCATCGTCGCTATACCTGATTATGTACATGCCCCACGAACTTGTCTATTCCTGTCGCAAACCATTACAGCCATTTACAGAGAATGTAGGGAATTCTGTATTTGGGGCTTAGACATCAGTGAATTCATTGACTGTGACTGTTTTCAGATACTTTAGAGGTACAGTAATTCTTTGGACTCAGTATGCATGTCGTTTCGTCGAATATCGAAATGTTGCACTGCTTATTGAGCAAGCAGGTGATACTTCCCTCAAAGTTGTCTCGCCCAGAGGTAGGTAAAATTTTCAAATACTTCTACAAATATGGCATGTTTGCGTTTCTATTCTTTTCTATCTCACTTGAACTCAATTTAGAGTGTGGTAAACGATCTAAAACATTTCGTACTTTCCAGAGTTGGATGAGGTATGATCCCACATCAAATCTACGTCGCTCATACCCTTTCTCCCGCTTCAAACGATATGTAATCCTTCTCGCCCCCGATTCTTCTTTCCTTCGATCTCTCTTTACTATTGTTTTTTCTTCTTCAATCATCTTATTCCAAGCATCTGTCGGCATGCCTGCAAGTTAATTATCACTTTATGGCATGATGCGCTTCTACAACCTACAACATCCTTCAGTATACCTAAAAACGCAATTAACAAATCCACCAGGAACCATATTCCATCGTTACGAAGAAAGTCGTAACAATTGTCCCAAATGAGAATGGACTCTTATGGTCCATCCATACTGGCAACAACAATCATTTTCCTCATTCTCGGTGTTTTTGTTGTCTCACTCCGTTACTATACTCGAGTGGTAATTCGAAATACCATTGGCCATGATGATTTTCTTATTCTCTTATCTCTCGTAAGACATACCATCGATGATCTCAGTATTCGGTATTCTGACTGGGGGTTTTAGGGCCTTTATATCGTGATGGCATCACTACTCTTCGTTGGCGTTCAACGAGGCATCGGTCAACACAAGAAGGAAATGAAGACGGATGACATTGTTGAAAGCTCGAAGGTTTCAACACCGATTCTGAGATCATACAACCAACTGACAATCAACAGTACGTCTGGCTCACGGTCTTAATTTACATAAATGCTGTTACGGTGGTCAAAGCTTCCTATGCCACATGTCTCCTGCGTCTCACTGAGGCCAGCCCTTGCGCATACGCTCTTTGGGCTGGACTATCAATCAACGTTATCATATGCTTCATAGCAAGCTTTTACCTGATTTTCAATTGTCAGCCAATTTCATACGCTTGGAAGCAGGGCGACTCGAGCGTGGATGGTTATTGCAATTACGACTCAGCAGATGCTCTAGGTTATGCATGGGCCGGACTCTCTCTAGCGCTATATCTCCTCTTCACCCTAATTCCGGTCGCATTAGTTTGGAATATGCAAATGCACATAAAGACGAAGACATTCGTTGTCACTGTCCTGGGATTAGGATTGTTGTAAGTGAACACGTATATTTTCGACATCTGAGTTGTGAGATTTGCTGACCGAGTGCCAGCGCTGGTGTTGCTTGTGCTGTACGAATCGGAGTATTCGCTGTGGACTTGGATTATACAGATCCTCTTTGTTCGGGGCCCTGTCCTCTTGCCTTAACATGACCGTAACTAATCAATGTTCATAGATTCAATATCTCCAATGCTCATTTGGTCTGTAGTTGAAGCTGGTTTGGGAATCGTGGCAAGCTGCATCGCAACATTACGACCTCTCCTTCGGCACTACAACATTCAAGACCTAGAGGAGATTGAACTCGAAGACGAGGTCGGACACGGTGAGGGTGGACGAGAACAAGGTCAACGGGCATACAAAATGTCAACAGTATCCCAAATCCTTGCCAAATTTATAGGTCATGGTGCACATACCGTGACCGTCATTCACCAAGGAAGTGAAGCTACGATTCCCGCGAATGGTCAAATCAAGGAGAGAAGGACATACAACATCACTACTTTTCAGAGAAGTTCGGCGGATATGCAACACGAACGTGAAATGCAAGGAGTTGCTGGCAAAGTTCCCGAGCCAGATGACGTGAATACCGGGGGTTGGTGAGAGCAAACGAGATTCATTATGGTTCCGATAACATAGTAAAATTGGTCTTCGAGAAAAGAAGAAGATGGGTCAAGGATTCATTTTATATTCAGGTTATGGTACTGTTTTGATCAATGCGAATACATTTTCAGGTTCTGTTCTATACTGATTGCATCTTGTTTACAATGTTAAAGAATGCCTACTGGTGTGCAAGTGTACACAATCTTTGCTAGATTCCTGCTGCATTGAACCCTTTCTACCCCATGTTTGTAGGCGACAGGGTAAAATTCGGCAAATCTACCGGTCAATCTAAAATACCCGAAACATTGCAAGGGCAATGAGGTTATCCGTACGTGATCAAGGGTAAGCAAATTAATATCCGGTCGCCATGCATTCGCCGAGCCGGAACTCTCTTTTTCTAGCTAGGGACCTAAGAGAATGGTGACATCTTAAGTTTGTGTGGATTCTTCAAAGACTAATTAAGAGGTTGGGATCACAATGGGGCTTGTGGGGCAATTTGGTTTTACCACCAATAGAATCACGAAGATATCTGAGATCGGAAGACTGATAAATCCCATTAACGGTGTACGAAAGGAATGTTCGGAAAAGGTAAACTCGGATTAAGATAAAGAAAGAGTTGTAAATGAATGAATCGTCTGATAAATCCAGGAATAATATATGCAAGGTGAACTTACTGGGCGTCACTTTAGGCTTCGGTCTTACTAGTCTCCCGCATGGGTACCCTTTCTGCATGCATGATGTGAATGTAGAAGAGCTTAAGCTTATCAAGCATGCCGATATTGGACAAGGTCTAAATCGTATGTCTTGAAGGTTCATATACTGGGTGGTATCGCCGGCATGTTCGACGTGATCTCTAGGTTTCCAGACGAAACTCAAGCTTTCAATATGTTCATCTCAAAATCCCTCATCTTCATACTCGCAAGTTCTCAGGTTCTCGCGTCCAGACTATTTGTGGCTTCATATGCAGGAACCGTTACTACTTTGTCACTCGATGAAGATGCAAACGGTGCATATTCATTCGGAGTCATTGCGACATCTACGGCTTGCGCGGCCAATTCCTCGTGGATCACCTTAGATTCTTCCCGGGATATTTTGTTTTGCGCGGATAGAGGTTCGACTGCAAGCAATGGAACCCTCAATTCGTTGAAGATCCAGGATGATGGTTCTCTGGTGGCATTGGATAGAGTTGAGACTCCGGTTGGGGCAGCGGCTACAGTATTGTATGCGAATAATACTGCTTTGGCTTTAGCTTATTAGTAAGGATTCACTCATTATTTGCCGCTTGACTTGATTTTGGGACTTGTACTAAGTGACCGGTCAATAGTTCCTCAAGCAGCGTAGGATCTTTGGATGTCACCTCCGCAACTAACATCCTCCCTCTCCAAACCTTCACCTATAACCTTACAACTCCCGGCGCGGACCCCCAATACGAAACCGCACCGCATCCACACGAAGCAATCACCGACCCCACAGAATCCTTTGTTCTCGTCCCAGATCTGGGTGCCGATCTCGTGAGAATCTATCGCATCGATCAAGATACCAAGTTATTGGAACCACTTGAGCCATTGAAGACTCCCGTCGGAAGTGGACCCAGACATGCAAATTGGCTTGTTTCGGAAGCAGGAATCACGTACTTTTACTTGGTCAGCCAATTGACTAATAGACTTACGGCATATGAGGTTACATATGAAAGTGATAACACTTTGAGGTTTGAAGTGAAGTTTGAGAGGAGTCTTTTGGAGACGACTACTCCAGGCGAGGAATTACAATTTTATAGCGCTGCGTCAGGGATCCAGATTACAGTAAGTGATAATTCTTCGGAGGATCATAATTCTCTCCAAATTTTGTCACTTGAAAATTACATGAGATTAATGTGCCTTCTAGCCCGATCATAACTACCTCCTCATCTCTCAACGCAACGATACACACTTCAGTATTCCCGATCCTTCTTCCCCATCAGCCACAAATGTCATTCCCTCCGACTCTCTCTTAACCTTTTCTCTCAACCATGCGAACGGTAATTTTTCACTTGTCTCAATTGACGCTGCTGGAGGTAGTTTCCCAAGACAGTTCTCTATCAACAAAGCTGGGGACTTGGTAGCTGTGGGCTTGCAAAACGATGGAAGAGTAGCGTTGTTGAAGAGGAATGTAGATGGAGGAGACTTGGAGATTGTCGCTGGAATTGATATTGAGGGACAGGTTGTTTGTATTGTTTGGGACGAATAGATGGAAGGATTAGTGTTGATCTGAGGATGACTTCCGCGCCAATTGTTGTCGTACTGGCTTCAGCATTAGATTTAGTGCTCGGCATGAATGAAAACTTTTCTCGTACAGCTTCTCATGTGCATTTGATTGCAGAGTAGTACTCCACACTCGTTTTTTCTTTGAAAGTCATAGTTCAATTCCGTATAAAATTGGATTACCAGTTGACGTAGATGTTTACTAGAGGATAAAAACTTCAAAGTTTAAAATCACGTTTGTCAGATTTTTACAAGTACAGTTTGAATCCTTCTTCCCAGATTTTGTCGCCGGATCAATCTGAGTCTTCCCACGTACCAATTGAGCTACTCAGCTTTCTCTGCCCTCTGTTCGCATCCTTTTGATAGTCATATCTATGACAAAATAAATGAATAGCATTGCCAATAAACCTCCAAATAGCTGTGTAATTCCCTGCCGAGCCTTGTCGCGCTTTCGATTCTTTTCGAGGTCTTGCATGCGATCAAAAAGTTGAATCATCTGAGTAGATGTTTGCTAGATTCAAAGTCAGAATGTTCTCAAATCTCAGGGTATAGAATGGGGGTACCGTAGTTTCTTCATCATTAGGAAATGGAATTTTATCAAGATCCAACTTCATCAACGCATCTTGTTTTTTATTCCCTGTAAATTAATCAGATTACATATTCCACATATCATCTCCTAATTCAATCAGGAACGAGAATCCTCACATTTTTCTTCACTCTCGGGATCATAAGTACGGATTCGTTCAAACTCACTTATGTATGCTTTCATATAATGATCGGTGAATTTAGCGTTGAACCCAGCTGTATATGATCGGTTGAACGAGTCCCAACATGCTTTTTGATATGCTTCGATGTATGCCTTCCTATACATTTCGGCATAGAGTTTCTTGTAGGATTCCTCTGGACTGTACGAGGGTTCTACTGTACCAGTGTCGGCTGGCGCTTCCGGAACTTCCGGATTTCATGATTGTTCAGCTGTATCGTTGTCGGCTTCTGGACTTTTTGAATCGGTGGATTTAGGTTCACTAGGCTGAGCCCATAAAGCGGCTTTTTGTTTCTGTGTATTTATCAAGGAGGGAGGCACAGTTGCAGGAGAATAAACATTTCGTTCGCCGGAAGAGAGTTCCGGGGTCGCAGATCCTTGGTTCATGATTATTGAGTTAGACATGGGAATAATCGGTCTGGTTAAGCAAGCCTGGATTTATTGTAATTGATCTGGTAATAATGAAGTTTGCTTGATTTTGGAAAAAGTGGAAGCCATAAATGATGTTTGAAAATTGGATGTAGGTGAAGGTTTTGTCACTTTTTGTGACTGATTCTCACCAGCAAGGTGACTGTTGTGGTAGAGAATTAGAGTCAGAAGCCTTTTATGACTCTAAAGTGTGTAATGAGACATATCCCAAAGTCAAAATGCCTGAAGTGCCAACATTACATAGTTTATGATTCCCTCACAAGCCTCGATAAGGCAACTTCATGCCATTTCCTCTCATCTCTCAACCGTGGTAATCATTCACTGTTACATCCTGTTCATCTTGCTCCTACACCTTCTTCAACTCATGCCCCGCATTATATTCCATATTGCATGCACGCTCCATTGTCTAGAGATTCTCATGTAATTCATAATCTTCCTTTCCAAACAGGGATGGTAAAACCATGATGTGAAGTCATCGAGATGTGAATCCCGTTAAGAGCCGTTCTGGTTATCATGGGAATTTCCCCCTCTTTACATTTACGCCATTCACTGAATGGAAAATCTCAACAAGTAACTGTGTGAATCAGCAGTGCAAAGTTTTATTCGTATTATCAAGTTCTATCGCTACATCTTGAGGAATACTCATCAGAGGAAGGGTATCTTTTTCTGCAGCAAAGCCAAACCTGGTTCATACCACGAGCGATAGGGAAAAAAAGAGAAGTGTATCGAATCAGTGATCAGTCATTGTTATTTGGTGAACATTTGTGATCCAGATTCCCTCAGAAGCGCAGGATACCCATTCTCAGACATGTTGCAACTTGCAAGCTTTTTCGCCACATCCTTGGTACTCCATGTTCCGTGACCAAGAGCCTCCTCAACCTGACACATCTCCAAGTTTCATAGTTTGAACACTGTCGCTGATGGTCGAGTTCGTGGTAACGGGCAACACGAATGTCCTTTTCAACCCCGTAGACTCTATCATTCTAGAGTCGCAGTATCTTTCGTTTTACCCGGCATGCAAGTTTGGCATTTCCGGAAGAAACATCGCAAGCGCATGCAAATGTAAGGTTCTGATTTGCATCCGTGTTCAATATATACGGTAGAGTAGCTCTGACAAGCTTTTTGATACATGTAGTGAGGTTCTTCAAGGGATCAATCCACTCGATTGAATGGATGTCCTTCGAAATGGATGGTTTGCGAAGTCTATCAGGTTGACAAGAAACTTCCAACATTATCCACTTGAACAATGTCATCACGTTCCTGACGCAATGTAACCCTCCACTAAATTGGTAACGAGTCTTCTTGTCCCATAGCTTGGGTAGCTCTACTAACTCTACATATGAAAGATTCTTATATCCCACGTGCAAGTGGCCTTCCAATCCCATGTTTAACTCTTTCAAGTACAGTAGCTCTTCCAGATCCAAATGTAACAGAGTCTTTCACTCTACATATAGTGGATCTGTCCATCCGCCTTCCACTTTCACATGTATAACAATATCCCAATCTCGCACCATCTTTACTTTGAAGTTTAGGCATCGTGGTGGGAGAATTTGAACCACTACTCCCAGGGCAAGTTATGCATTCACTTCCACATAAAACATCCACGAATACATGACCCGTTTTCCATCCTCTTTTACAAGCCCAAGAATAGATATAGCCAACACACCCGTCTTTGCACTTGTCTCTTCTGTAGATAGAATCTTTCGATTCATTAGAGATTGGATTACTTGTATGTCCATGATGCCAAATATGCCCTGCCCATGTATAGAGCTTTTGAACTTCTGTTGGGATTTCTCCTGACGGGGATTGTGGAATGGTCTCGATGAGAGTCGCGGGGAATATTTTGACCGTGTATTTCGGCTTTGAAAGTAAAGCGTTCACGGCAGGACATTCACCGTGTGATGCGTTGTTTGAATCTTTAGAGCAGAATTTGTTTGTGACTAAATACATTCTTGAGGTTGTTGATGGAGTTGTCTTTGGAGATTTCAACAATTTTCTTGAGGTCTTTTTGAAATATATGGTCGTGTAAGTATTAGTGGATGTTGCAGTTGCAAGCAAAGGTTAGAAGGAAGGAGGATGACTCCGGTAAGATCATTTCATTTAGCCATTTGAATATTTCCAGCTGTGATGAATGATACATTGCGGGGTCAAAAGCAATCATCATTTATCCTGATTTTCTGAGAAGGACTAGATGAACAATTTGATCTCGGGCTTTGAATTTTTCGAGACTGTTTGAATAAGCCTCTCTTGAGCATAAATCGTCATGTCACCTGTTCAGGGAAAGCCCAACCACTGAAAATACAGGATCACCCACTAATAAGTCAACCACCCCATATATTCTACACCTGATGAATTCTGGCAGTGGATCTACGTTGCTATCCCACACTTTGTTAAGTTCAATAGAGATCAATGAATGACTGGAGTAACAGGCTTGAGCGATAGATCAGAAAAAGAAAATATTTGCAATCATGTTGGCTACAGTAATACAATGATCACGACGTTTATTTAAACGAAACGGTGCCTACCTAGTAGGCTCGACTCTCGAGGTAGGGTAGGCACGTGGTAGGTCACCGCTTGCACGAAATAATTAGCAATCAACCTCCTCTTTATGTGGGAATCGGCTATAAATCTTTCATATCCATCGCCAATGCCTGGCATTCCATGACGCATTGCCTCTTATGGTCATGCTACTCAGCAACCTCATTTAATAACAGGCGTCAATGATATTTGAGGATGGTATCAAAAGTTGATCAAGCATTGATTTCATGAGCCCGAGACCTCGGGAGGGTTGGAAACTCCAACTAGCATCATTGAAGCCACACCGTCAAATTTATAGAATAGTACTTGGTACACAACCCGCTGGCAATTGTCGCTGTTATTGGAAATACAGATAATTGTTAATCAGTTTTTCTTAAATCGAATCATATCAATTAGATTGGGCGATAAAATTATGATGGCATTGATCAAGATTTTGATGTTAAAAGGTCAAGCGCCAGTGTCAATTCACCATGGGCGAAGGAAATTGATTTCAATTTACATTACATTCTATTAAACTTACCAAACTTGCATGATTCTAATTACAGCGTTTTATTCGATCTTTTTGATATTACACAAATTGCTCACAAGCCATTCATACAATAGAATCACCAAGAGCTATGTTATATGTATTAGCTGAGGTGGGATTTGTAATGAATGATGATATAATTTTATATCCAGTTGAAAACCAGGCATTTAGATTATCCCTCCTCAAAATACAACATAAGAGCTACCAATCACCCTTCCCCCCCCCTTCTCAAGAAGCTTTACGACCAGAAACAATGAATATGTGGTATGGGATGCTATATATAATCTAGTCCAAGGCTAAGAAGAACCTTAAGATTAATGAGAAGATAGTGTTGTCCATTAACACCACGTCGACTCGCTTGGCTGTGGGCGTGAAATCTAAATCCTTGTATTGAATTAGCAATTCTCTATATCACAGTTCTGACAAATATACAAGAAAAGTACTTACTGTCTAGTAGATCTGTGAGGCCTAGTGTCGAATTGATGGGGAGAGCCAGGGAGAGGCTGCCCTTCAACAGATTCATCGTCGAATTGTTCAGAAGAATGGTTATCATGCCACTTACGATGGTCGCTTTTATGGTTTGATTTACGGTCACCGCGACCCTTTGAATTATTATTTTTGAATTTTGATCTGGGTTCGGGTTTGCGCACTAAGCCTTTTGAGGTCATGGCATCTACATATCCTGCGTGCTCCAAGACTTTCCCTAGGAGACTACTATCTCGGATCTGTCTAGATTTGGGATTTTTCCAATCACCCGGAAAACTGTGTTTCCACGGGTAATTGGATTTGACAAACTCTCTTTGTGAGGATGATCTTCTTCTGTCATCGCGAGGAGATGAGCTTTGCGAGCTTTCGCACGAGTCTAAGCCACCGAGATCGCTGCTATGTGCACCCGAGATCGAAGACTTATTTGAGCCGGCTTGTTTTTGACCGCGCGCGACTTCCTGTAGGGGAGGTCTACCACGAGACTGATCGCCATCTCTTAGATCCGGAGGGAACTCTGGGTCTGGATAAGGATTTCGATTTAGATCTCTTTCTCGAGATGGTCGGATTCCTTCGATTGTTATCTGTTGTGCTTGCTCGGTAGTAGGGGGGCGAGTGCCGTGGGGTGTACGAAAATTCAATTTTTGAGGGAGAGGTATTGAGTCCGCGGCAGCAGAAACTAACTGTGGGGGAATAGACTGGCCTTGACGCCTACCTTCATGAAATTGCTCTTGCTGTGCTGGTTGCCCTTGGAGATTTGATGGGCACTGAGGTATGGGATTAGAGTAGCTGGGAGCTCCTCTTTGCGGTTGGGATGGCGCTCGAGCATTCCCTGAACGAAAAGGGCCAGGATCCAGCTGCACTACTTTTCGAAGATTTGGGTGTAATCGCGCATCCGCCGAGCGATAAAAATTGGGGTAGACGTGTGTCGGATGTTCTCCTTGAGAACGTGGTGGTGTTTGGGTATCCGACGGATGATGAGGGCTGTTATTGAGATGATTTGGAAGACCTCCTGAGTGGGGCGATTCTCCTGGGTGGTATGAATCTCTCGACTGGTTCGAAACTTCTGAACCGATTCTGGAATTAGATGTTACGGCGAGCTTGGCCATCTTTTTCGGGGTTCCTTGAAAATGCTGTCTTTCATTACTCGAATACACAGTTTCTTGCTGTAATTTTGGTGCTTCTAGCGGAGAGAAAGTTTCACTGCCGCTTCTAGGTTGATCTCGAGAAAGCCGAGGACGAGGGCTGGTCTTTGCAGAGGCATCTTTCTCTCTCCAGCTACGTTGACTGGTCACATTTTCTGTGTATCCTGGAGAACGAGTATGATGGTTATCCTTAGATAATTGTGATTCTGAGTGAGACAAAGGCAACGGCGGTGGTGGGGGGCGTTCTCGTCTCTGAATCTCCGTGACACTCCGTTCAGGAAGATCCAATTCTCGACGGAGGGGTGCGTACTCCAGGGCAGCAGCAATAAATTGTCCAAAGATACGCTGATGAGGTTGTTACCAAGATGCTCTGAAACTCCTCCTGAGCGGGATAATTCTCCTGAGCGGGATTGGGGGGCAGAACGTTTGGCTGATCTTTCCCGTTGTCTTGATTTGTGTTGACGATATGGGGTTGAGCTACTCATGATTGCTTGCAATAGAGGTAATGTACTTGGAAACGGTGTTTGTTTATAGATTCGTTTTGAATACAGTGAATGAATATTTATTCGTTCAATGTAGATGTAGATGAGAAAGTGCTTGAAGCGGGGGACTTGAAGGCTTAAGAGGTGTTTTGCAGCTCTCATTCAGACCCCTTGAAATCATGATGATTCATTATCTTGTAGTATGAATATCAATGTGACTGCAACTCTTGACAGATGTGACTTGGAATGGATAAAAAGCCACTGAAAGAGCATCGAAATGACTGTAAAATTGAAAAATGACAGGAGTGATAGCGGAATCTTTGAAAACAGAATTGCATGACATTGAAATAATGTTTTGTAGTTGATATGACTATCATTCCAAGGATCAATCAAATGATTTCTATTTGGCTGCTAAATGAATATACATTTCACATTTTCATACATGATTTGCACGATGAGTGGAATAAGGTAGGCACAGTTTTTTGACTGCGATGAAAATTAAAGCCTGGATATCTGATTCCTACAAAAGACGATGACACTCATTACATGAATGCAACTGACAATCAGAATTACTCTTTGACCTCTCACAGACCTTCCCTGATAATAATCTATAGATCTTGAAAACACTGGTTCTAGCATAATGGGATGTACATTTAAAATCTTGTCGTGCTAGATGACTCGAATACATGGATAGAATGATGCGAATAAAATGCTATAGTCGGAGAGCAAAAGAGGCAGGACACTAAGCAATAGTATAAATCTTACCTGGTCTAGAAACCAAGCATGGTAAAAGGCACAACAACAAGTATAGACTCAACTTTGAGCTCGTACCACTTAAGATGCGTCTTTTTTACTGTAGAAACCTCTAATGAAGAACGATTCTATTATGTACAGCTCAGCTCCTACTGCAATTAACTTTCCGTGATTTCTGAATAGGGTCCCCCACAATCATCCGAAGCAGCCTAAAGTATTTGATTCCTCATGGACCAAGGGACAAAAGCACCCTGAATGGGTTGGAAAATCCTGAAATACTAGAGATTCGAGCTGGAAGCTCTGACACAACTCGCTTTGAAATTTCCACAACGGGCAGTATTGCCATAATTTATGATCTATATTCAAGTATTTTGTGCCACCCAGCAAAGCTTCCGTAGGCCAAAGGAAGCGCTATTCCAACAGAAACTTTATAAACACAGAATCTAGATAGTAAAATAATCTCATCTAGTCGTTTCGATCGCGGGTATTCTCATGGATGTGTCTCATTATCTTCGAACTGGCCAAGCAGCCCTTCACATCGCATGTCCTTCCGGCCCATGCATGAAGTCATTTTCAAACCTTCCCCACCCACCTGTCGGCTCATCACACATCTTCAGACTATGAATCCTCAAGTCATAATGCCCATCTTGCGGTCTTTGTCCCTGGCAAACGTTTCCGCCCATCGCTACATTTATGATAACCTGAAAATCATTCAGCCTCCTCGTTCCCTCTGGCACCGTCGCTTTCATAACGACCTTCCCATCGATATACCAGACCATCTTTCCTCCTACACCATTCTCGGGTTGGTTCCACGCAAACTCATATGTGTGTTGTGCATGATGCATCTTATGCACCGGTGTTTCCACAACCCTATGTTTATTCCAATCCTCCCCATTAAAATGACCCCAATGCAAGCAGGTGTGATTCGTCGCATCCCCGTTCCACGTCTCCATAATATCTATCTCTCCATCATTTGGCCATGTAAAAGGTTCACGCGGGAGGAGCCAGAAAGCCGGCCAGATTCCAGAGGCACAGGGTGGTGTAATAGTTGCTACGAGACTGCCGCGATCTCGGGCTAGTGTCATATGGCTGGTTAAGCGTGCGCTTGTAAATCTACCGTTAGAGGCAATGGCTCGGAGGATCAAATGGCCGTTTTCGTCGTGGAACGAGTTTTCTCGGTCTGCGACGTAATTTTGCAGTTCATTGTTTCCCCAGCCATGATCGCCTAGCTGATGTCTGAAATTGTCGGAAACGTGTGTGTGGGGAGCGAAAGAAGGTGTCCAATAAGGATGAATCGCAGAATAGGATGGTCTATTCTGAGGAATCGGAGGAGGTGCGCCTGCATTGTGATGAGGTTGAACTTGAGGATAGTATCCTGGTGGTGCGGGTTGTGGTGGTGGGGGTGTGTGCGTTGTGGATTGACCGGGGATAGAAAAATTGTGTTGAGCAGCAAAGGCTTCTCCCTTAGCTTTAGCTTTGTCAAGAATATTTTTAAAAGACATATTATCGTATGGGGTTTGGTTTGATGTAAAATGTGTGGAATTTTGCGGTGAAGTTACTCGAGTATAGCACGCATGTTACGTCAATGTGCGGATCGGCCCGCAAAAATCATAAGGCTGCGCTACTTGCGGGGTCTCTCGGTAAGTTCGATTTTTCCACCCCTAAGATCTGAAATAGTAACGCTCAGGGCAGGGATCTATTATGACCATTACGAGTAGTGATTGTACGTTTCCTTTATGCTATACTCTATTCGCACTTTTCTTCTATGACTTTCTCTCTTCTCCATCTTTGACAGCAAATACAAATGTACGAACATATATTATGCAAATCTACTCTCTCTCAGTCATTACAAAAATTTCGTCTTCTCCATACTGTTCGTGAATAACTCCCTACACCTAACTCTACTGCCCAATCTCGCACACAGTAAGAATGCCCCACTCAATTTTCGATGCAAACTATAAGTTTCTTCTGGCGGTGGCGCTAGTCGCTCTCTGATCATGATCGGAATGAGAGCCTTTACTCTTTCCGTAATGGTCTGGTCTCTGAAATCATAAATCTCAGGGGAAGACTCTAAAAATGGTTCTGCGAGAGTGAGAACAGATTGTATGTGCGCGTCTAACATTGCCTTAGATTCTTGGCCTGTAAGATACCCGAGATCGATAGACAGAGCGCGAACTGTATCTCTCTCTGATCTTGAGGCTGCGTCTAGTAGTTGTGTGTATTTGGTAATGAACTCTTCGGGATACTCGCGAGAGGCACCGAAATCGAGAAGTTCTAGTTTATTGGTTTGTGCGTTGTAGAGGAAATTCGTCCAATTAGGATCGGTCTGCATGTATTTGAACTCAGTAATCTCGCGAAGACAGAGGCGTAGAATCTGGGTTCCAATCCAGTCTCGTTGCTCCTGCGTAAAACTTTGAGCGCGAGTAACACCAACTCCTTCCATATATTCCATAGTAAGAACCTGTTTCCCTGATGCTTCAGAAAACACTTTTGGTACGACGAAAACATCTTTTTCATCCGCCAGAAGTTCCTGGAAACGCAGTCCGCATTCCGCTTCTCGAATATAATCGCATTCCCATCCCAGCTCTGTTCGGGCATTTGCTATCGTTTTATCGAGAAACAAGCCTTTTGGTAAAAGACGAGATGCTGTTAGTAGTATTGCGAGGTTATTAAGATCGGAGTCTATGGAATCTGCGACTCCAGGATATTGAATCTTTACAGCAACCTTTGCACCCGTTGATTTGAGTGTTGCACGATGGACCTGACCAATAGATGCAGCAGCCAAAGGGACTTCTTCGAATTCGCCAAATAAGTCTCTCCATTCAGGTCCGAGATTTGCTATCAATACTTTGTTTCTTTGTGAAGCAGGCATGTAGTCTGCTCGATCCTGAACTCGTTGCATTACTTCTTGGATCGGCGCCGGAAGCATTTTGGAGTCTTGGAAACTGATCATCTGGCCCAATTTCAAAGCTGCACCTCTCATCCGAGATAATTTGGTCACAAGCCTGTCCATGTTGCCTGCGCTCAACATGAAAGATCCCTCGCCGCCACCGCCACCAACTCGACGAAGACTTTCGCTGATAGCCCCTCCTACCATGCCAGCAGCGAGGCCACTATAGTTCCACAACCTTCCAAGTCTTGAAGAAGGAACACTAGATTCTCGCAGCTTATATGGGACAGGCTGTGAGCTCTTCTCTGGCTGCAACTATATCATTGTCAGATCTCAGTGTCACAAGCATCAGGTGCGAGAGGAGTTCATATTTACAGTGTTATTACTACTTTCTTTGCTAATATCTGCGGCTAGCTTTTCGATATCTTCATCGTTTTGACGAGGAGTCACGAGAACGGATTTGAGTGGACTATCCGGGGTAGTCGGTTCCGCTTGAACAGATGAATGAACATTGAACGTATCCTGGTCCTTATTTCTTGCGAGCTGGGTTTGGTCTACAGGGGTGTTTTTTACTCCCTTTAACCCCAGGGTACCTTTACCTGACCCTTGAGTTTTGCCTCCCAATAACCTAGCAACCCTTGGGCTATAGAATAGATCTGTGTTGATGCCCTCGGGCAGCTGTTCTTGCTCAGGAACTGATTCAACAGAGGGTATTTGTTTAGTCCTATCAACAGTTTCTGAGAAAGTATCAGAGTTTATAGCATCATCCCTCAAATGTCGATCATTTTCCTGTATATCGGATGTATATTTTGGTATTTTGGCCCTGGGTAGGGAAGATAAGGTAGGAGATGTGTGTCTTGATCTATCATAGAAAGAATCTTCATCGTGTCCTTCTTCCAATGGATTGTTTGAATGCCCAATTGCATCCGCAGTGACTGATGGAATTTGGCGCTCGTGTTCTTGTTGAATACGTTTTGCATTATCAGCGGATAAAGGCTTGGTTTTTGGAATAGGTATAGTCGAGGCACTCGAAGCCGCAGGATGCAATCCCTCACTATCAATCGGATCGAGCTTGGGTCCAGCTTTTGATCTGATAGGAGTTGTGTCTGCATTTAACTCGGTAGTATTGATATCTGCATTTTGGGGAGGGATTGTTCCGTCTGGAAGAGGGTAACTTTTGGCCTTTTCCTGTTGAATGTGCAAATCCCTTCTTGGAGTCGGGTTGATAGACGAATTTGACTCGGACTTTTCGTAGAAATGATCCTGCTCTAACCCCTCCTTTTTCTCTGGGGCATGCTCTTGTTCCTTCGTAGATTCTCTACTGGGTATAGGCCCACTGTCCTTCGGTTGAGAACTGGTTGTATAATCTGTTGCCTCCTTGGTCCATTCTGGCACATTATCATTCAATCTCGATGCAAGGAAAGATGCTGCTTTGGCAGTCTCCGTAACTCGGTCCGTTTGATTGCGTACTGCTCTTGCTAGAGTCGAGGTTCTATTGTATACATCAATTTGTCTTGTCTTTAGTGCAATGTGCTTCTGAGCAACCCCACGGGAAGCATTGAAGAGAGCGGCCAAGTCTAGAATCCTCTTCCCCGCCATAGTTACCAAACAATTAATTCAATGATGTTCAGAAATTCATGCCGAAAAACTAGACAATGAACTCCGCAGAGACATGTTCAAAAATTTCGACGGCTGTTAAGTTCATCGATAATTCTTGCCGAGCCTCAATCCTTGTAGATTTGGAAGACGTCACTATCGATATCATGAGATGGTGTGGCTTGTGTGGGTACGGTAACACTCGAAAGCTCTACAAAGCAATCATGAAGGATAAAATTTTAGATGTATTACAGTAATGAGACAAATGTATTCAAAGTCCATGAAGAATCATCGTAATTGTTGGTATCATCTAGCATGCTTATTAAACTCAAGGTCATTGATGTTCATAAGAATATAACCATTCTAATCTATCTTTAGCCAATGGAGACCTCATGTATCGGTAACCTGTCCTGTGTCTACTAGGTATGTGGAACCTGGACGAGATTCCTAGCTTTTGTATATAAAGAATGACTTGTTAGCACTCATAGGGTATCTTGTAATTAGTTTATCCCCCAAACGCCGTTCTATTTCCATAATCCAATGTTTTTCAACTCTTCCCAGACGGAGTCCATCTCGCCCGTAGGTTGGATTTTGCTCTCACAGTGCCTGGTGTTTTAACACCAAAGGTGTCATTAGTCCCCTTACCAGAACCACCAACACGACTCCATAAGCGTTCGGCAGCTGGTGTCAGGCCACCGGAGCCTACCCTAGGACTACTGGGAAATTTGGGCACAGGAGTCATCTCAACCTTCCCGGTCATACCGATTTTTGCAGATGTACGTTTACTTCTGGCAGTTTTATCCACCATCCTGTGATGTAGGTCCTCCCGCTTGCTTTTCTCTTTTATTATGAAAGGGTTTTTGGTGGTTTCGCCTGGGCCAAGATCGATGATCGGAGAAGGTGTATATGGTTCTTCTTCTGGTTCATCATCCACGAATGAATAACCATTTACACGTGGAGTTTCGCTTCCGTCATATCCAGACTCTGAATCCGCAATTCTTCGTTTTCCAGCTATGGCATCCCTGACAGCAGACATTGATGGGGAAGACGGTATGTTGACTTCCTCCTGGAGTGTAATCTCTGGCAACCTTGTATTAGCATATGCGACACCTTTGGGTGCTGCCCTCGAATCGTTTTGTGCTCTTTGTGCCACAGTCTCAATTGAATCTTCCACGCTATCAGGTCGAAACATTAATCCATTATTTGGCGTAGATTTCCAGGAGTCGGGTTGGGCTGGCCTCTCCCTGATGTCTTGAATCGCAAGTCTGTTTCTTTTCCCGCCATCATCCTCCAAAGATTGTCTTGACTGTAGAAGCCTTGTTTCAACTTCTTTCTGCTTTAGCATCATATTAGATGCCACTTTATTCCCGGTCCACATCCAAGCATATTTTTCAGCTCGTTTCTGATTTTGCTTGTCTAATAATTTGTAGAAGCTTTCGTTATCTTCGCTGGTATATAATGATTGGAAGTTGGTGAGACTCATGTTTGTATCGACTTCAACTTGGGGCGCCTGAGTTGCGTCGGACGTGACTGACATTGGCGTATCTTCAGCAAATCCGCCGGGTGTTTCTGAAGCTCGAGATGGTGTTTGAATAGATGTACCCCGCCTTCCAATACGCCTTCCCGGAGTCATGACATGTCGAAGCCTACGTTCAGCACTTGTGATCCAAGCTCCATCTTTTGAGTCGAGTGCATCTAAGTATTCTTGTTTCGTTTCTGTTTCGAGTAGCCCTGGAAAGAAATCTCGAGCAATGATTTCTGATATGGCATCGGTATACGTATCTTCGTCAATAACATTCTTTGGTCTCTTGATTCGTTTTGGGGGCGGTGGCATCAAAGCAGTTTCATTTGCGCGTTTTGTGAGAGCGGTTGCGGTTGATGAAGTTGATTTTGATGGTAAAAGATCCATCGCTGCGGATGTGCCAGCTACGAACCAAGGATATAAATCGACACTTTTCTTAAAGTCGTTGCCGTAAGTTCCCAACTTTGCCGGACTATAATAGTCAAGACGCTTTCATGCCGAATCAATCAAATAAGGTTAGGTGACGATTGACTATGGGGATTTGCGATAAGAGGAACGGAAATTGGATCGATGATTAAGCGCGTGCGGGCAAAATACACTACTGTACCTAAAAGCTGTATCGGTGATAATGTTGCACAACAGGGATGCTTCTGGACTCCGAAAGAATACTTGAGGGATTCGAAAAGTAAATTCATAAAAGTACAAACAACCCTCCAACGTGTACTTTTTATAATCAAATTTTGTAGAGTCTACATCTTTAGGACCTCCAGATATCAAACGGATTTTATTGAGAAGTTTTGTTACATTATCAGCATAAATTTCCTTCCCATCACTTTACTTCCACGATAAAGAACCCCGCACTCACTCACCTACCTCACTGTACGAATCTTTGATTGATTGATTGAGAAAATGTCCTCCCGAGAGGAAGAGGCAGTTGCCTTGAAGAATCAAGGAAACAAAGCTTTCGCTGCTCACGACTGGCTCGGAGCTATCGATTTATACACCAAGGCCATAGAACTTGACGACCAAAAGCCAACATACTATTCAAACAGAGCTCAGGTATTTTCACATGTATCAACATTCAAACTGCTCGCGTGATTAACAGTCTTGCAGGCAAACATAAAATCTGAGGCTTACGGATACGCAATAGCTGATGCTACAAAAGCCATTGAACTCGATCCGAATTTTGTCAAGGTTCGTTGGCTCAGGGATTTTTCCATTTTTGCCTTTCTCTTGCCCAAAGTTTGAAATCTGACAGCTTCCTCACAGGCATACTATCGTCGAGCCGTTGCATATACTGCAATCCTAAAACCAAAAGAAGCTCTCAAAGATTTCAAGGCGGTTGTCAAGAAGGCACCAAATGATAAGGATGCGAAGCTCAAGTTGGCAGAGTGTGAGAAGATTGTAAAAAGAATCGAGTTCTTTCGAGCCATCGAAGTTGGAGATCCACCATCCGCGGCGGAGGGCCTCAACCTTGATGATATGGTTGTGAAGGATTATGATGGTGTAGAGTTGGGCAACGAAATGACGACTGAGTTTATCAATGATATGCTTGAACGTTTCAAGAATGGCAAGAAAATACACCAGAAATATGTTTATCAAATTGTCATGGCAGTCAAAAAGATTGTCTATGATGAACCGACAATGGTGGAGATGGAGATCGACAGTGACGCACAATTGACCGTTTGTGGAGATACACATGGTAAGTTGTCTTTGTATGGCATTGCAGTTCTAAGCTAACACTGAGTCTCAGGTCAATTTTTCGATCTTATGGAACTTTTCAGACTCAATGGTCTACCCACAGAGAAGCACTATTACTTATTCAACGGTGATTTCGTTGATCGAGGTTCTTGGTCATGTGAAATTGCACTATTGTTGTATGCATACAAATGGTTACGTCCATCAGCATTTTTTATCAACAGAGGAAATCATGAGACCGATGACATGAACCGTGTTTATGGATTTGAGGGCGAGTGCAAGGCAAAATACAATGGTAAGTTGTCTTCCCAATGCATTTAAATCGTGGTCTTTGAGAACACAAACTAATTCTTATCAGAACGTACTTTCAAGCTGTTCTCCGAAAGTTTCTCGGCCCTGCCTTTAGCAACTCTCATTGGCAAGAAATATCTTGTCCTTCACGGAGGGTTATTCTCGGATGACAAGATCACGCTAGACGACATTCGAGCTTTGAACAGACATAATCAACGCCAACCGGGCCAGGCAGGATTGATGATGGAAATGTTATGGACGGATCCACAAAAGGAGCCAGGTCGTGGCCCAAGTAAACGTGGTGTCGGTATGCAATTTGGACCGGATATCACTAGAAGGTTTTGCGAGAACAATGGATTAGAGGCTATCATCCGTAGTCATGAGGTCCGAATGGAAGGTTATGAAGAGGAACACGATGGAAAATGCATTACTGGTATGTGAATTTCCACGGATGCATTACAGACTTAACTAACAATTTTTAGTCTTCTCCGCACCGAGATATTGCGATAGCACGGAAAACAAGGGAGCTTATATCAATATCGGACCTGATTATAAGTTGGACTTCCACAAGTTTGATGCAGTGCCACATCCTAATATCAAGCCTATGGTTCGTAGTACTAGAATCTTTTTTCTTCTTCCAAATAATAAGCTAACTAACGAAACAGGCCTACGCACAAAATTCTCCTTTATCGATGATGTAGACGAAACAACCATGATCAGATATATCAGGTGGTTTTTGGGAGCGCTCATAAAAGTTTGGATCTATTCCATCTATCAAGATAGGAGATCAATCCGTAGGAAAATATCTTACAAGGGATTTCAAAATGTACAATAGCAGTAATATCCTCACATAAAGCGCTTCAATGATACTGATGTTCAAGCGAGAATGTAGTTATTCAAAATAACCTAATCATTTACAACTCTTAGCCAATCAATCACTAAGGACGAACTCCGACCAATCCGCTGACGCTGCTTGGTGGCGTATTTATTAATGGTGTATCAAGAAGTGAAGTGGCTTAGATGAAATTCGCTACCCGCCGTGCAAGAAGCTTGACATTTGCGCAGCATATCTTCCGTTTCTACAAAACATCAGGAATCTTCGTACATACTTGCTACATGCCGTCAGCTCATTTTAATATGATATCCCAAATCCACACATTCAAAGAACGTCTCATTTCCTCCTATCTGGAGGTCTTGTCAGTCGCCAAGAGCAAGGCCCCGAATCACACCACCTGCAGCGCCTTTTTATTATAGTGTTTTATCCATTGTATGTGCAATGATTCGTTAGTTTATTGTCTTTTATACTTTAGAATGGAACGTTGAGATAAATTTGGTGGTGTGTGCTTGTCTTGAAATGACGATGATGACACGAGGAGAAAAAAGGAGGGTGAAGAATGGAGTTCACGAGAGTACGTGAGAGGTTCTTTGGTAGTCTAGATAATGGTCTTGGAAGCACATCTAAACCATGCAAATACTTTTGAATTTCGATGTCATCTAAATGTATGTGATATCATGCTCTAAGAAATAGTCTTCTCAACCAATGTGATTCCGTATTTCTTCAACTCCTCCATCAATGGATCGTTGATCTTGCTGGTCATAGGTGCAAGAATACCCTTCTCACTAATTGTTCCGTCAAGAACTTGCTTGACAGCCACACCACATGGTACACCGACTAATTTGGCCATAGCGGAGTAACCCTTTGGATCACCGTATTCAACCAATGTTGATGTACGAGTCTCCTTTTTTCCATCCTTGTGCTCAATCTCAAACTTGTGTTGCAACATGACGAGATCACGTTCTCCCTCTTCAAATTGCATCTTTTTCTCGAGAGTGGCGCAAAGAGTATCGAGAGGGTTACCACGGGGAATAATCTTTTCGTCGGAGAAGATGCCAACCCAGTTAAGACCGTTCATGATACGTTCCTTTTCTTCGGTGCTGTCGAACTTTGCCTTGGAAGCAATTGCCCACTTCAAATCATCCTCAGTACTTGATGAAGATCCAAGGACCTTCTTAGTAGCCTCTTTCCAGGAAATTGGCTCGGTGAATCCGTGGTCCTCATCACTCAAGAATCCCATATCAACCAATACACGAATGAATTCTGGGAAACCTTGGTATCTTAAAGTACCTCTGATGATAGTTTGTGCTTCTGGGATATTGTAACGCTCCTTGTAAGGGGTAGAATCTCTGTTTGGGTAGGCGACAAATGCGTATCCTGGGTAGATGAAGTATGGCTTGGCGGTACCCATCAACTCTGGACCAGCAACATCAACGATGTTTCCGTCTTTATAGAATCTTGCAGCATTTCTCAATGCCAATAAAACACCACGGGAAGACCAAGAGAACTTGTAACCGAGAGGGTTGTCCGAATTCTCTGGAGCTGGAAGACCTCCACAGTATGACAAGAAAGAAGTGATCTTTCCACCCGCCTTGTGAACCTCCTCGATGGTCTTAACAGCATACAAGTGATCGATTCCTGGATCTAAACCAATCTCATTCATAACTGTGATGCCGGCGTTCTTGGCCTCCTCGTCCAATTCGAGCATGGCAGGAGAAACATAACTAGTGGTAACAACGTTCTTCTTGTTTCGGATGGCAGATTTGATGACGGTAGCGTGGTATGTATATGGGATTAAACTGATGACCAAATCGTTCTTTGCAACTTCGGCATCGAGAGCTTTGTCGTCTGTGACGTCAAGGGCGATTGGGTGGGCATTCTTGACACCTTCGGAGAGCTTCTTAGCACTTTCGATGGTTCTGCATGCTAGAAAAAAGTCAGATTTATCTTTTGAAGAGGAATTGGAATGCTTATGTACCAACAGAAACTTGAATGCCTGCTTCACTGAGAATATCCAAGGTTGGGCGTGTTACGAAGCCCGCACCGAGCATAAGAACTTTCCTAGAATGATTGTAAGAAAACGAAACTTGGGGCTGAAATCATTCGATAGCTTACTTTGCGTCAAATCCAGCCATGATGTCTAATTTGGATGAATATAATTGAGGATAAAACGAAAATAAATATCAAGCAAAGGCTTGAAAGTTCACCGAACGACTCATGCCGATGGGTTAAATTTCTTGGTGGGGTTGATCCGTGATCGGCCAACCGCATATGTGATAAAATTCGCAGAATTTGGTTGAGATCAGCATTAATTCACTGTAAGCATGCTTCTCAACCATCATGATAGGGTTACTGAATAATGATCGTGTTGTATGGTAGAGTAAATACAGTTTTTAATTGTCAATTCAGAATTTTAATATCGTTATTATTCAAACTTGAGGATAATACCAAACATGACATTGAGGTTACAATGTATGCTAGGTACACGAAGCTACAACAACAGTAAGGTCAAGGATCCCAAGTTGTCCCGCACTAACCTAAAATGGGACCTAGCTTCCTTTGAAGCTTACTTAAGCGCTATTCGCAAAGAACACTTTTCATAAGTCGCGAAAAAGCTCTTCTCTTCAATTTTCTTCTCCTCACAACATCAAGCTTTCGAAGCTTCATTCACAACATCTTCAACAATCTTTCATACCGTACAATAACCATGTCGGCAATGGATGTATTCTGGGCAGCTCCGCCTATTTCAAGGTAAGCGCAACGCGTTCTGTGAAAGATGCGCCAATCAATTAATACTGATGCTGATAATAGTGCATAGGACTTTGGCTGCTGGTGCCTTGACTCTTTCGATCTTGGTCTACACTCATATTCTTTCAGGTTACCATGTCATGTTCTTGTTGCAACCTATAATGCAATTCCCGCCTCAATTATGGCGACTGATTTCTCCCTTTCTCGTCACTGGCCCAGACTTGGGTATTCTCTTCGACACATACTTTCGTAAGACTTGAAGGATCGCATCACAATCAGGATAGATTGACTTACATTGGAACAACAGTATACACTTATGGAAGCAAGCTTGAATCAGCTTCGCCTAGATTCTCTCAACCAGGAGATTTCTTGACATATGTATTGTTTGTTTGTGCGACGATCTTGGTAGGCATTATCTCTTTTCTCCTTTTCTTCTTTCATCGGTCTGTTCAAACCCAACCTCTATACTGCCCGTTTAGTGCAATGCTCTTAGCTACAACGGTTCCTAAAACGAGGAAGATTACCCTTACATCTTGGCTGGTCCGACATTCGCAAAACAACAAATAGGATCAGTTAAGGTGTAGGCATGGTGGGAAGTTCCTATGAGAAAACTCGTGTTGATTCCTCAACTTAACTCGGGTGGTTGTAGCTCCCTACATTTCAAGTCATTATCATTGAGATGTTGATACTTGGTGTTTCTACTTCAAGAGATGCCTTGTAAAAATCTCATCTAACAAATGCGCAGGGATTGAATGTATTCATAACAGGCGGTGTCATCTTTACATCGGCATTGGTATTGGCTTTCGCATACACATCGACACAAGATGATCGTGGCATGAAAGCTACCTTTTTTGTCGTCACCATCCCAGCACCATGGATTCCATATGCCATGCTTCTCATGACTTTTGTGATGGCTGGTCCTGGCCCAGCTAAGATTCAAGCTACCGGTCTTGTTGCCGCACATTTACATGACTTCTTGACAAGACTTTGGCCTACGTTTGGTGGTGGAAGAAATTTTGTTCCAACTCCGGGTTTCATTCAAAGAGCTTTCCAAACCACACAAACCACTGTTACTGAAAGATCTTATGGTACCGCGGTTGCACCACCACAACGATCTGCCAATTCTGCCAGCTCATCTGGCAGTGTTCTACCAGAATCGTGGAAGACTCGTGGCTCAGGACATAGATTAGGAGGTGATTGATTGAGTGAGTCAGAATGCAACAATGGATTATGCTGTAATATAGATGAGGTGCTTTCCTACGTTAGTGTTTGGTGTCGATTAAATAAAACAATAGTATTAGCCCTTGATGGCATTGTTAATATTTCTCGTGTCTATTTCGTGAATATGATTCTTGGGAAACATTTTCGGATGCTTTCACACTGTTGAGCGTAGCTTTTGCGTCAATCTCCATTGTTCATCATCCCACTTCTTATTGATTCATGCCATTCCTTTCCGTCTTCACTGTAGGCTTTGTCCACTCACAACGTACATATCGTCTATGGTCATGCGCAACAAGGAGTTGCCGTTTTCATAAAAAGAGGGCCAATTTATTTCAATGCAATGCAATAATTATCCTTACCCGAACATGACTATACTTTCCTTGTGAGTACGTTTTCCAGTCATAAATTTTGGATGGAGAGAAGATAGTCCTAGCGTTAGTTGTTACGCCTGGAGCAGGGACTGGTTCGATACATCGTGGAGAGGTGATGGATGGCTATTAGTGGAATGACAAACTCATATGTTCACATGCAAAATTCACTACGGGAAGAACCAGACAGAGAAGTCAGCGTTTACATGGTCCGGGGATGGTGCAAAACGGTGGATGAGGTAACTGAGGTCAATATGAAGGGTTCGTAGCGCTTTTGCATAAGTTGGTAGAAAATTGTTGAAAACAGAAAGTTCGAGTGCTTATAATCTACTAGCTCAGGATAGCTGAGAGGAGCTTAACGATACTGAGCCAAAGCATCCAAATATGTCAAGTTTCATTTTTCTGTTGTCATGATTTTAAGATTTTGGTCATGGGAGAGGCCATGATTTGGTGAAGGCAGTTGAATTGCGTTTGCATCACGCAGATGTAAGAAGGACAACCAGAATATAAATATATGACAACAACCTTAACGTCGGTGGACAGATACAAAGAATGATAATGATATAAATCTGTGAAATGAAGCTAGAGAGGTCAGCGAGTAGACCAAAAAAGATACTTGGCGTAATTCTACCATCGCAGCAATAGTTGAAATTGTTTCGACACTCTTGGGCGTTGGCGCTCTCTATTTAATGGCATCAAAGTATTTAATACTTCTGGGTGAATTACTCTGGGCAATCATATAAGCGGCGGCTCATGTTTAAATTGAACATAGATGGGCCTGGTTGTGCTACTAGAGATGTTGGTGACGTGCCGTTATGTTATGAGTGAGTGAGAATGTGCTTCAATCTTTACAATCGGACCAAACTTTCAATAGTCGCTCATTTACCAG